TCTTATCTCACAGCAGGCTATGAACTGAATTTCAAATTGGTTAGAGGATTAAGCCTAATAAATGCTTAATGTGCTAAAATAATACAAAGATTATCTTAGTCTTTTTTGAGAGAGGAAGACACAAGCAAGACACCAAACCTAGAAGTCACTTCCCTGCGCTCTCCCCCCCCCCCCCCAGATATACAGAGAACTTAGGTAAAATTAAAAGTGTTTTTATGGTGAAAATTACCATAAACAAAATAAAAGATAAGAGACAGACAGACTGGAAGAAAATATGTGCAACATATGTAACACACAAAGGGTTAATATTTGTAAAACAAACAGAACCTTCATAATCATTAACAATAAAAAGCCAAACAATAGGAATTGTGAAATCACAAAGGAAGAAATATAAATGGCCCATTCACTTAAAAAATTAATAAAGGTTCTACAGGCAATTATAATACAGGGTGTCCCAAAAAATGTAGACACACACATTTTTTGAAAGCTCAGTTGATGTTGTTTTCAGATTTAATCCATTGGAATGAATAATTATTCAAAGTGTGTATACATTTTATTGTAACACCCTGTATGTAGGACCAATTCCAATGTGTGAGTAAATTTATTGAAACTCATCAAACTGCAGGCTTACAATGGGTAAATTGGGTGGTAGGTCAATTATATCTCAATAAGGCTGTTAAAAAATTCCTTCGCAGTACTTTTTGTTTACATTTTCCTTAGGGAAACGCACACATATTTCCCATGGCCTATAAGGTCTTGATTTATTCAGTTTGTTTGGCTTTGATCCTTCTGAGTTCTCTCCCACCAATCTCCTTGCTCACCAATTGCCAGCAGCCCTATGCCCAGCAATGCATTGTACTCTCTTTTGCCTCAGGGCCTTCCTACCCGGAGTTCTTTGCCTGAAATACCCTTAATCCTTCACTTTTTTTTTTACTAATCCTTTACATCTCAGTTTAAATGTTACTTCCTGAGAGAGCTTCCTTAACACATCCTTTCACAGTTTAAATCAGGTTATTCTGTCATTCTCTCTCCCAGGTCTGTCCCTTTAGTTTAAAGCATTTGTCACAATCTGTAATTACATATTTATTTTGTGATGATTTGTTTAATTTCCATCTTTCCGCTGGAAGGTAAGCTCTAAGAGGGTAGAGAGCACACCTATCTATAGACTCATTTTCAGGGGGTATCCTCCAACATTTTATCTTAACAGGTCAATTAATTTAATTACCCAGGATTACGTATTGCAGTCAGAAGACCTTGAGGGGTTCACTACAATGTGCGCTGCTAAAATGAAATGAAGACACTTCATTGGAATTTTTTCTTCTTTTTACCAGTTAGGCGAATGATAACATGAGCTCAGAGAAATTTTCAGGCTCAAGTAATTGCAGGCAAGCTCTATGGTATAGAAGTCTGAGTTCTCATAGTTGTCCGAATGCTTCTATACACATTGTCAGAATTGATGGTCAAAGTGCAGACACTCCCTTAATTGATCACATATTTTCAGAGAGCTGCACTCTTGCCAAAAGCATTCAGGGAAGATTTCTAAAGGGTATGTAATCCTTTTAGAACATCAGGTTCCTGCTTACTTGTATTGGGCTATTTTGGTCCCTCCGAGAATTGCTTTTAAAAATGTTTATTTATTTATTTTTATTTAAATATATTTTTATTGATCTCAGAGAGGAAGGGAGAGGAAGAGATAGATAGAAACATCAATGATGAGAGAGAATCATTGATAGGCTGCCTCCTGCATGCCCCCTACTGAGGATCAAGCACCCAAGTTGGGCATGTGCCCTGACTGGGAATTGAACCAGTGACTTCTTGGTATCTGGGTCGAAGCTCAACCACTGAGGCACACTGGCCAGGCTAGAATTGCTTTTAGTGACTTCTGCCGTCAGTTAATACATAGAACAACATTATAAGAAAGAATGTACTCCTGCTGAATTTGTTGCAGAAATTCAGTGTTCTGCATCACCCAGTGCTCTCTTTGAGAGGACCCCATAGCCTTTCAGGAGTTCAGACTTGAATATCCAGCTATACCCATTGGGCATCTCCATTATACGCAGAACCAGGGACGAGAGTTAGTGAGATGGTGGAGTTGAACATTAATACATAGAATCCTTTTCTATTAAAAGTAGGAATGAGTGGCTTCCAAATATTTAGTAGGGTGTCATTTTCCCTAATAAAATTAAGTGGGTACTCCAATATGTAAAACAGATAAAAGAGCTGGCTCTGGCTGGGTAGCTCAGTTGATTAGAACATTGTCCCAATATGCCAAGGTTTTGGGTTTGATCCCAGGTCAGGGTACATACAAGAATCAACCAGTGAATGCATAAGTAAATGAAACAACAAATTAATTTTTTTCTCTTTCTCTCCCTCTCTGTCTGTCTCTCTCTCTTGAAAAAAGAAAAAAAACAAGAAAGAAAAAAATGATAAGTTGGATTGTGAGTTGGATTGCAGGGAAGGCATGGTTTAGTTTTTTTCCTCCCATTTAAGTATCTTTGGTCCCCTGAAGTAGGTAGCAAGGGAGTTACAAGTCACTGATCTAGTCCAATCCACCCATTTGGAACCCTTGTGTCCCCCACTGAGAAACAGAAGCACACAACTCATTTCATAAAATGGAGACAGCCATGGGGTGGGGGGTGGGGGTTTCTTCCTATTAACATAGGATTAATTAACACACTCTCTGAGCTAGACCAGTCAATGTTGTACATATAAGAAGTCACTAAGGGTTATTTTTTTTTTTTTTAAAAAAAGCTTCCTAAAAACTGGGTCAGTAGGGGGAGCCATTTGCTAACGTTTCTGCATTTCCCGTGTTATCTCTCAAACTTGCTGCAGAACTAGTAATGTATTAATATTACTCAAGCCTGTGCAGCCCTGAGCAGTGAGGAAAGCATTTCTGTGAGAGTTGAGAGAGAAGTAGCACATGGAAGCAAAGCCTCCACATGGTCCAGCTTCTTTGAATTCTTCTGATTTATCTCAAAAAACAATGCAAATACTGACTCTCCCATAAATTTCCATAAATTGTCCATATTTACTTTGTTTTAGTATTATTTTTTGTTCCAATACCCCCTTTCCCTCCCCTTTGGTAACCATCAGCTTGTTCTTTATATCTATGGGTCTGTTTCTCATTTGTTTATTCATTTTTGTTTTTTAGATTGCACATAGAAGTGAGATCATACAGTATTTGTCTTTGTCTGACTTAAGTGATGCCGCCCAAGCAGGTGCCATTTGCGGGAGGGAGAAGCGTCACCATTATATGTAGTTGCAAGTTTTGATGCTTGCACAAGATGGGGCATTTTAGTGATGAAAATGAAAATTTTTTGGTGACTTAAAAGTGATCAGAGTACCATTTATTTTTAGATTGTGTATAGTTAATTATTGATACACATTTTTCCCCTACGGAGACTAAGGAGGATGGTATCAGGGAGTGAGTAGGGGGACTGTTGGGGATGATAATGAGGTTAATTTTGTACATATTGCATTTGAGAAGCCCATGACATCTACTGTTGGAAATGTCCAATGAGGAGCTAGGTCTATGGCTCAGAAAAAAATAAAACAAGCACTAAAACGTGCATCCCGCTGAGGCAGTGGTTCTCAACCTGTGGGTCGCGACCCCTTTGGCGGTCGAACGACCCTTTCACAGGGGTCCCCTAAGACCATCCTGCATATCAGATATTTACATTACGATTCATAACAGTAGCAACATTACAGTTATGAAGTAGCAACGAAAATAATTTTATGGTTGGGTCACAACATGAGGAACTGTATTTAAAGGGCCAGAAGGTTGAGAACCACTGCGCTGAGGTTAACATTGTAAAGATAGCTATCAGTAAACACTTACCAGGACTTGGGTTAAGCATTGTTTGTAGATCACACCATTTAATCCTTACAATACCCTTATGACATAAGATGTATTATAACTCCTCTGTTATAGCAAGGAAAACAGAAGTTTAGGAAAAGTCAATGATTTACTCAAGCTCCCACAGCTATTAAGTGTTAGACCTTTGATACTGGGCTCAGTTCTCTAAGTATTCCCCACCACCTCCCAGTGGGACACGTTGAAAGACCCAGAGCATTGAAATGTAAAAAGATAGATATTTCACATAAAACTGGCTCAGCAAAGGGTACTATTTGTATACACTAAAAAGAATTTCTGAAAATGTCAAATTACTCTGGGAGATGAAATGTCTCAGAAGCCCTGACTTAAAGGATATGTGCAAAAATATGTTTCCTCTTTTGCTAGATTTCTGGGATCTAATGAAATGAATTTTTTTTTTTTGAAAAGGAACAAAACCAAATCCTGTTTCCCAGTATGGTTTATAGAATGCTTTCAAAATGAGGAATGAGAGCCCTTTCTTTCCATTGAATCTGTTCTACACTATGGCCATAGAATAGGTCTAGCACGATCATCATTAGAGAAGAAGAGGGGATAAGCAGGGAAAAAAGATTCATGTGGGGACTCAGAAACATAGTGGTGTACATAAAGGGAAAGACCCACCAAATTCAAGACACATCCATACACACTCTTGGGCATAAAAAGAGAGAGAGACACAGAGAGAAATATCCTTATACTATGACTTTTATGATACCACTCTTTTAAAAAATATTTGTATTGCCCTAGCTGGTTTGACTCAATGGATAGAGTGTTGGCCTGTGGACTGAAGGGTCCCGGGTTCAATTCCTTTCCTCTCTCTGAAATCAATAAAAATAAATAATATATATTTATTAAGAATATATTAAGACTTCTGAAGTCATTTCAACATTAGAAACCACAGGCCCATGGTGGCGTCAAGAGGCCTGGATGTATGTTCTGGAGACCTATGTCCTGACTTAGCCACTTATTACTCTGATACCTTGGACAAATCAACTGACATTTACTTGAACAAGTTTTCTAATTTGTTGGATTGTGTTGTTCAGCCTTGCTTATGAAGAGAGAGCTTTTTACAGCAAGAAACTCGGCTACCATCACTAGTGTTTCTCAGAGATTCAGAGGCAGGCAGAGCAATCTACTCTGTGCATCTGACAAGCCATTTAGGTAATCTTTTATTTAGAGGAAAATCAGAAAAACAGCCACAAGCAAAACCAGAAAGACAGTGAGTAAGATTGCAAATGGAAATGGGGATTCTTGTATAGTGCGAGTTCGGGTGGCCTTGAGTGTTCGGTCCCACTGGTTCAAGATGGCATTTCGGGCTCCTTTCCATTTTCCTGGGCCGGTCAAGCGGAACTGGTATGGTGTGCACGGGCCAAAGAAGATGGCCAAAGCCAGACGTGGATCCGTCAGGAGCATAGAGAACAGGTTGGGTTTGGCATTGATATCCGTCAGAAGTTCATCTATGTATGTGATATAATCTGATTGTAAGGCTTTGCAGTAACACAAGCCAAACCTTTATAAAAGGAAGATTGCGGAGCAAGGGGAAGACAGAAAGATAAAATAATCATAATCTTAGAACAAGTGAAATTGCCAAAAGTTAACAATGAGGCTGCACAATTTGGAATGGTTCCTGGGTTCTTCCCTCCATGCCCATAGCTGTCTATCTAATAGTCTCACTGTATTACTTAAAGACAAGATGGGTTCCTTGAAAATATACTGTATACCTATGTTTCTTCAAATACTCACAATGCCTCTATTATTAGTTTAGTTCTTTTGCCAAATGATTAGGAATTTCTAGAAAAAAAAGTATTTTACATAATTTTACTATTCCTAAATCTTTCTAAAACTCAATTATTGCTAGGTATGTATAACATAAAAAGCCACAAGTATCAGTAGGGTGGAATTTCCCTGTAATGCTGGTATTAGTCCCTAAAATCATTAGTCCCTGAACTATGTGATAAGAAGCTTTTACACTTTGTAGCTCTAATTAATGGTCTATGTTATATTAGAATCCCATAACGGAGATCAAATCATATTCTGGGTTCAGGATGTATCATGAAAATAGGTCAATACTTGAATTTTGAAGTATATATGAATTAGAGAAGTGATATATTTCTTAAATGCATTGATTTTAAAACTTTTTGTCCTTAGAAACCTCTTCTTTCTTTTAAAGTGAAAATCTACATCAAAGCCCTAAACAGTAAAACAGATAAAAACAGAGATGCTTGGGTTGGATTAGGAGTGAGAGAGGGAGCCCAAGACCACCTTCTTTACTGCCACCTCCCTTCTATTCTCTTTGGTCTTTGAATGATAGAGTCCAAAGAGTAGAAAAGCGGAAATGTCTCCTCCAGGGAAGGCGTCAACAAACTTATTCTGCAAAAGGCTGGAGGGTCAGTGTTTGAGGCTTCATGAGCTATATTATGGTCTCTATTTCAATTCCTCAACTCTGCTGTTATAACTTGAAAGTAGCCATAGGCAGTAAGTAAATTAACGAGTGAGGCTATGTTCTAATAAAACGTTATGGCCATTGAATTTCATATAATTTTCACATATCACAAAATATTTCCATTTTCCTTCCCCCGCCCCCCCCAGCCATTTAAAAATGTAAAGAATAAAACAAGTGGTCGGTAGATTTGGCCACCAGACCATAATTTGCAGACTTGCTCTAGATTGGGTCTGAATAAAAATAAGACAACTGAATACAGATTTGTTGAATGAATACATAAGCAGACAGACCCTTTTAGTGTCAGCGTGGACAAACCTGTTTGCCTTCTGATTATGGAGAAGGTATGGAATAATGTATCTGGTAGAGGAGTGTTAACGATGTTTGAGTTAGAATCCAAACTCCATGTGGTGCAAAGATGACCATGGTTTGAAGTGATGATTTTGGGACATTAAAATGTCTCAATTTCCCTCTCCCTCCTTTCTTCTTAAACAGACTATCCTAGTTTTTTTCCTCTAAGTCTCGGGTGCTTCTTTTTTCTTTAGCATAACCCTCACCTCTCTTTGTTATGGTTTTTGCCAGTTTCAGTTATAATTCAAAAAGGACACAACAGTCGTTAACTTACCCACTGGGCCTGTTCTCTTTCCTGGCATTAACTTCTTCTATCATGACACTTCGAGGCGGCAACTTATTCACACCTGTAAAACAAACAAAAATGCAATTTAACTTTAGGTTTAAGTGCTTGCTTAGTGGGTAAAGATGCTTTCCCACCGCTCAGCATTTATTCCTAGTACCCAGCTACTTATCGGCTCATCTGGCAAATGTGCTAGCAGCCTAAGTGGCCTGGTGGTTGGTATGTTCCTGGCCAAAAAGATCAGCATCTGGTCATCTTGCTACTTACTTGATATGACAGAACCTCACATCTGGTTTGCCTGAACTTTGTCATTGAATTGGTTAAACTCTCAAATTTTAATGGAATCAGTCCATTCAGTCAACCTAACTGACTTTTTTGAGCTCTGGCTTATCTTTTGTGCTGTTAATGGCACAGGTTCAGTATGGTAGTGTAATCCAGTAAACAATAGAATACATTCTGCTTTTAAGGATTCTATTGCTTTGGCCCTAGCTGGTTTGGTTCAATGGATAGAGTGTCGGCCTGGGGACTGAAAGGTCCCGGGTTCGATTCTGGCCAAGGGCACATGCCCAGGTTGTGGGCTCAATCCCCAGTAGGGGGTGTGCAGGAGACAACCAATCAATGATTCTCTCTCATCATTGATATTTCTATTTCTCTCTCCCTCTCCCTTCCTCTCTGAAATCAATAAAAAAATATATTAAAAAAAAGATTCTGTTGCTTTGGATAGGAGCGAGGGAAGGTCTAGAAATTTCCAGTATCCAAAATAACATGGCAAACTGAACACACCTGCCCTGCTGTTTCTCACGCACTTACCTTTCAGGACTTGAACAGCCCATCGAGCTTGCGTTTCTCCTGTGGGTATCATGGAGCCTAAGGGTTTGATGAGGCCAATGACAGCCAGGGTTGGCTTTTCCAGATGTGCGGGGAAGATGTATTTGTACAGTGATGCCTGGCCATCTTCGACTTTCACTACAGTTTCATCAAGGAAGGGGAAAGCAAAGGTGTATCCAGTGGCAAAGACAATGATGTCAATGGGCTGTTCCTTTGGGGTGTAGTTAAATATGACAGAGTTTTTCTTCACCTCCTTTATGCTTGGCTTGATGAGCACTTTCCCAGTGATGATACGGCCTGGGAGCTCATCATTTATCACAGGCTCTTTCATCTGTGTCCTGAACAAAAACACAGGAGAGATATATCTGTCAGTGAATGATACAGCAGCCCTCTTGCCTCCTCCCTTCCTGTCTTCATTCTGGGACCCTGCTCCTGGCTAGGCAGGAGGTGCCAGTTTTTTAAAATCCTTCCTGAGCTTAAAACATTTTAAAAAATAGACTTTATATCTTATTGCAGTTTTAGGTTCACAGCAAAATTAAGATGAAAGTACAGAGATTTACCATATACCCTTTGCCCCTCCTCACACAAAGCCTCCCCCATCCCGATCCCCCACTAGAGTGGTGCGTTTGTTACAATCAATGAACCTGCATGGACACATCGTCATCATGAAACCTGGGCTCCCCCACTTTTCCTACCCATCCCCCCCTTTGGCAACCATCAGCTTGTTCTCTATATCTATGGGTTTGTTTGTTTTGTCTTGTTTATTTATTTGATTTGTTATTTTAGATTCCACCTAGAAGTGATATAATACGGTATATGTCTTTCTCTGATTATTTCACTTAGCATACTATCCTCTAGGTCTATTCATGTTGTCACAAATGGCAAGATTGCATTCCTTATATTGCTGAATATGACCATACCACATCTTCTTTATCCATTTATCTATCCATACACATTTAGGTTGCTTCCATATGCTGGCTATTACTAGTAATGCTGCAATGAACATATGGGTGCATATATATTTTTAAATTTGTGTTTTTGTTTTCTTCGGATAAATCCCCAGAAGTGGAATTGCTGGATTGTATGGCAGCTCTATTTTTAACTTTATGAGGATGCTCTATACTATTTTCCTTAGTGGCTGCACTAATTTACAATCCCACCAACAGTGCATGAGTGTTCCCTTTTCTCCACACCCATGCCAGCACTTGTAATTTGATTTATTGATGATAACCATTCTGACAGATGTCAATTGATATATCATTGTGGTTTTAATTTGCATTTCCTTGATTATTGGTGATGTTAAGCATCTTTTCATGTATCTGTTGGCCATTCTTATGTCTTCTTGGGAGAAATGTCTATTCAGGTCCTCTGTCCATTTTTTAAATGATCTTTTTGGGTGTTAAATTGTATGAGTTCTTTATATATTTTAGGCATTAATCCTTTATTGGATATATTATTTGCAAATGTCTTCTCCCATCAGTATAGGTTGTCTTTTCATTTTGTTGATGGTTTCTTTTCTTTTTTTTTTTAAAATATATTTTATTGATTTTTTACAGAGAGGAAGGGAGAGGGATAGAGAGTTAGAAACATCGATGAGAGAGAAACATCGATCAGCTGCCTCCTGCACACTCCCCACTGGGGATGTGCCTGCAACCCAGGTACATGCCCTTGACCAGAATCGAACCTGGGACCCTTCAGTCCGCAGGCCGACGCTCTATCCACCGAGCCAAACCGGTTTTGGCTGTTGATGGTTTCTTTCACTGTGCAAAAACTTTTTAGTTTTTTCAGGTCAGGAAAATTTTTAGCTATTATTTTTAAAAATAAAGTTTCCGTTCCTTTTTCTTTCTTCTTCTTCTTTTGAGATCCATATAATGCAACTGTTTGAGCACTTGGTATTATCCCAGAGGTCCCTAAACTACCCTCATTTAAAAATTTATTTTTCCTTTCTGCTATTTTGATTGGCTTATTTCCACTAGTCTGTGTCCTAGGTTGCTGATCTGTAATTACGTGTTAGTTAATATGCTGTTGGTTCCTTCTAATGTGTTTTTCATTTTAGATATATACTTCAAGTTGGCTTGATTTTTCTTATACTTTCTAACTGTTGAAATGCTCCCTAAATTCTTCTATTTTACTCTCCAGTTTGGTGAGCATACTTATGACCATTTCTTTGAATTCTTTTTTTTTTAAATCTTTACCCAAAAATATTTTCCCATTGATTTTTAGGGAGAGTGGAAGAGAGAGGGAAAGACGGAGAGAAACATCAATGAGAGAAACACATAGATTTGTTGTCTCCTGCATGTGCCCGACCAGGGCTCGGTCCAGAGAGAAGCCTGCAACCAAGGTATGTGTCCTTGACCAGAATTGAATCCGGGACCCTTTGGTTCACAGGCCGACGCTGTATTCATTGTGCCAAACTGGCTAGAGCTCTTTGAATTCTTAATTAGACCAATTATCTTGATTTCCTTAGGGTTTTTATCTGGGAATTTTTCTTGTTCTTTCATTTGAGAGACATTCTTATGCCTTTTCCTTTCGTTTGACTTTCTATGCTTGTTTATATGAATTAGACAAAATATCTGTCTCTTCCAGTCTTGGAAAAGTGGTTTTATATGGAAGTGGCCTCTGTGCAGGCTGTGTGTGCTGGGTGCTTTTGGCAGGCTGGTAGGAGCCGAGTGGCTGCAAGGTATCTGGGGTGCTGCCCCACTAAGCCAACGTGGCTCCAGATGGGGAGGCCAGCCAGGTGCATGTGGTGCTGCCCTGCTGATCCCGCTTGCTCCCTATGTTCCACACAAAATGGGCTTGTGTCCAGGAACACCTTACAGAGACCTTGCAGCCAGGCCAGAGCACCTGGACAGAGTCCAGGGCCACCCTAGGGAGGTGGAGGGGGACTTAAACCATGGCCCTTAGCAGCCCATCCAACCTGGGAGAATTCCAGCAGCCCCGGAGAGCTCTCACAGCTCCCCAGCCTTCTGTCTACAGCGTCTCTCCTGTTTGTTGTTCACATAGGGGTCCCGTGTAGAAGAGACCTCTGTGTGGGCTTGATGTGCCGGGTAGTTTTGGGAAGCAGATTGAAGCTGGTCAGGCACGTATTGCCCCTGGAGCACCGGCCCTGCAGGTGCACATGGTGATGCCCTATTGTTCCAGGCAAATCCAGGTGGTGTAGCTGGGAACGCTCCAGTGACCCCGCAGGTAGGCCCCAGCCCTGAATAGAGCCTCCGTGGGCCCTATGGAGCTGGAGGGGATATAAGAACGGTGCTCACTGGCTCCTCGGCCAGGGCTTCCGGAGGCTGCCCTTCCCCAGCCTCTGACCGTCTGCCAGGGTGGTTGTTCTGAAGGTGGTGGGTAGAGAACCGCTCTCGGCGCAGCGCCAGGTGCAGCTCCAGGTGCAGGCAGTTCCGGAGCGGGGCATGCGCGCTGGGCGCCGGGCGGAGCCTGCGGGACGGCATGGCGCGTGGTGGCTGCCGACACCCTGCTGCTCCTGCCTGTTCCCTTTGTTCGAAGACCAAAGGCTCCAGGCCACGTAGCTGGGACTGTGCTCTGGGAACCCACAGGTAGGCCAAAGCCCCCAGTAGAGCTGCCGCCGCCCTGTCCGGTTGGAGGGGACGTAATGGCGCGCGCAGCCTGTTCCTCTGGGTGGGGAGGCCTGCAGCTTCCAGGGGGCTCCCGCCTCCCAGCCTTCTCTGTGCGGTCTCTGTCTCTTGTTTGTTGTCAGCAGCTGCTCATTCAGCGCTCGGTGTCTCTCAGGAGTCACTGCTTCCTGCATAGGCGAGTATTTGACGTTGCTCTGGAGGGCCCAGGGCCGGGGCGGCCTCCCACCCGCCGCTGCCTTCGGAGGGGTCAGTTTCGGGACAGGAAAGTTACCTCTGTGGGGCTCACGAGGGACCCAGAAGGACAGGACAATGACTTACATTTACTAGAGTTTGGAAGCCTGAGGAGAAGGAGGTCGGAGCTTGCTGCATTGCAGCTTCAGCTCTCGCTGCCATTTGCAGACAGCGGAAGGCTGAAGGGCTGCAGGAGGACCGGGAGTCTACCAATTGTACAAGGAAAACGCGCTTCAAAGGAACAAGGGCAGAATTCTCCTTTTCTGGTTATGCCTTCGGAATCACTAAACAAACACTGTGGTTTTCAATGAGCCGAGCCATTTTTGGCTTATGGTGAATCCACAGCAAGAGACAGCATCATAATGATGAATAATCTGAACTACCAGACAAAATAGAGGCAGATTCAGAGAGAGCAGGCAGAAAGCTCTAGAGGGGGGTGGGTGTTAGGGGTGGGGTGGAGTGATTGAGCAAAAAAGAAAGAAAGAGAACTCATGGACATGCACAGCAGTGTGCTGAGTGGGGGGTGAGGGGGATGGGTGGAGGTGGAAGAGGACACAGAGGGGATAAATGGTGATGAAAAAAATAAATTAAAAAATAGAGATCCAACAGCTGATTACAATGATTTTGAATTTAAAATAAAATGTTCCTATAGATTATATGGCTATAAAAAAGCAAAGTATTGTTTGTATTTAACAGGGTTTGGGAAAGTCATTTGGTCCCTTTAGGCCTTATTTATCTGTCATACAGGGGTATGACCTCTAATCAGTTCATTGGGTGGGATGAAGAGCACAGGAAATAGTACATATGTGAGAACATTGGAAATTAAAGAATGATAATTCCTTAGTCTCCTCTTACATTTTCTGGAGTATATGGGATTAAATAAAATGCTTTATAGTCCCACTGGTGACCCCGTGCATGAATTTGTGCACATTGAACACAAACTCAAGTGTGTAATAAACCAGATTTGGGGCCGACAGTACCCCAGTAACAACATAACCCACAGCAGAAGGTGGAATTGTGTGGCCCTGCGAGGAATCAGGCTCTTTCCTCTCTGGTTTCGGGGTGCGTCACCTGAGAATGGCTGCTGCCAAGTCACTGCAGCTTGGCAGCGTCTGCCCCCTGGTGGTCATTGTGGGTCATAGCGACCCGTCGGATGGGCGGAGGGACACTTAGCATATTAGCCTTTTCTATATATAGATGGGCTGCTACCCAGGCTAGGTAAAGCTTATGGTAGAAAAAGCTCTGATGAAAAGAGTCAAAACCCCTGGGAGGCTCAGAGGTAGGAGGTAGAAGAGGGTGGTAGATAAGAGATAAGGAAGGAATAGATGGGGATAATAGAGGGGAGGGAAGAGGAAGATATGTGAGAGAAGGAAGAAGGGAGCAAGAGGAAAGACGTGTATGCAGCAGGAAGGGGACTGCATGCTGTCAATGGTGGCTTGGGTGCCACCTGATCCATGCTGGGCCAGAGCTAAATCTGGAGGGAGCTCAGACGGGAGTAATAGAAGCTCATTGTACCAACCTAACGAATAAAGAATTAAAACCATTAATTCTTGATAATACAATAAGTCATAGGTTGTGACAGGTCAGACTGAAGTCAAGGTCATCTTGACAAGGTCAAGAAGGCACTGGTATTAGAGAGATGGTGAAGGGCAACTATAGGATTTGATTTTTCCTACCCAGTGAAACAAGGCAAGCGTGTTGCTTTTGTCAAAAAAGTCATAGACAACCCTAGCTGGTTTGGCTCAGTAAATAGAGTGTCAGCCTGCGGACTGAAGGGTCCTGGGTTCGATTCCAGTAAAGAGCACATGCCTGGGTTGGGGACTTGATCCCCAGTAGGGGGCATGCAGGAGGCAGCCAATCAATGATTCTCTTTCATCATTGATGTCTTTCTCTATCCTTCTCTGAAATCAATAAAAAAATAGCAAGTAGTGTTTTTTTTTAAAAAAGAGTCATAGACAAATCACTTGTTTGATTGCTATAGCTGGATAAAAAAGCTGTGGTACATATATACAATGGAATATTACCTGGCCATAAAAAAGAATGAAATCTTACCATTTGCAATAGCATAGATAGAGCCAGAGGGTATTATGCTAAGTGAAATAAGTCAGACTGAGAAAGACAAATACCATATGATTTCACTTTTATGTAGAATCTAATAAATAAACAAAATAGAAACAGATTCATAGATAGAGGGAACAGACTGATGGTTGCTAGAGGCAGGAGTGGGGGGCTGTTGGGGACTATGTGGAAAAGGTGAAGTGATTGAGAAGTACAGATTGGTAGTCACAAAATAGTTATAGGGTTGTAAAGTATAGCATAGGAAATGTAGTCAATAATATTGTATTAACTGTGTATGGTGCTAGATGGGTACTGGAAATATTGGGGACAACACTTTGTAAAGTATGTTTGTCTAACCACTATGCTGTGCACCTGAAACGAATACAAGATAATGTTGAAGGATTGCTGTAGGTGAGGTTTAAGTAACTTGCCAAGGTCACAGAGCTCACTTATTACTAAGTCAGCGGTTCTCAACCTGTGGGTTGAGACCCCTTTGGCGGTTGAATGACCCTTTCACAGGGATCACCTAAGACCATCCTGCATATCAGATATTTACATTACGATTCATAACAGTAGCAACATTACAATTATGAAGTAGCAACGAAAATAATTTTATGGATGGGTCACAACATGAGGAACTGTATTTAAAGGGCCAGAAGGTTGAGAACCACTGTACTAAGTGATAAGCCTCAGTTTACCCACAATAAAGGGGAGATTATAATAATACTCACTTTAAAGATTGTTGACAAGGTGAAATTCATAATTTTACTTACCGAGGACACAAAAACGGTGAGCTACTATGATCAAGGAAGTGTGTATGAAGTTTTCCTTCATATTCAGGCATGTTGTCATGCTATTGCCTGGTTTGGATATGCCATGAGAAGGATGGAGGCTCTTTGTCCTAATAGCCCTCTGCAGATACATCATATTTACCTGTCTTCTGGTGCTAAGCCATAGTTTGCATGATTGAACCAGCTGTTTATCTTTCTTGACATCCACCAAGTCACAACTGGAGTTGGGAGGGAATTTCTCAACATGTTATGAAATCGAGTCATGAACAGCATGTCCCATGGGAGCCCCGACTCACTGACTCGGCTCATCACCCATGCCCCTCCAGTGGTGCTAAGGAACACCTGGAAGGAAGCAATCAGAGAGGTCACTCAGTCTGACAAAGTGAACAGTGCTGGCCTGCCAGAGATTTGAGAAGTTTCATAAATTGAATGACATCAAAAAATAGTCTGCCACCTTCAAAATACATCCCTGACAAGATAGTTTGGCTCCCTCAACGCCTATTCTAAAGTTATTCCTTTGAGATAATGGTTTGAGTACCTAGAGTATTAAAATGCCTTAAGACATATTATAATAATTGTAGAAAATAAGAACAGGGTGTGGCAGCAATTAAAAGGAGTCTAGAAAAGATTTCAACAGAAACCATTGTTTGAACTGGCAGTAAAATTCAGTAATACAGTTAGTTTTGGTGGACTTTATTTTTATTTATAGATTGACTAAGTTTACCAGCTGACTGAATTCACAAAGCTGATAGTTTTTTGTTTGTTTGTTTTTTGTTTTTGTTTTTTTTGGTACCTACACAATAAGAAGTTGTCTATACAACTGTTTAAAACTAAGAAAATTTAGTCCACGAATCTGTTACTCTGCAGATACAAAACAACTGATTAACAGATGGCTTCCCCCATAACAAACTGGGGTGTGGCAACCAGAGCTACAGTGTCAGTGTTTTTATTATATATGCTGTTTGGCCTTATAATGGAGTAGTATATGCAATACAGGAAAT